CGCTTTGGAAGAAGAAGGTCCCGTGGTCTCGACCGCTGATTCTGCTTGTCACATAGCGCATTCTTGAGCGAGCGATTCTTGCCGCCACGCTGAGTGGCGTGGCGCTCAACGAATGCGACCGACGCCGCTGCAATCAAATATCCATCCGACTCAAAGAACTGGTGACGGACCTGTCGTTGCGAACAGCGCCAAGGCTCATTGAGCCAATGCGTAGGCTAATACTTTCTCCGACAACATCCTGGATGGCACGAAATCGTTCTCACACATGGCCTACAAGCGCTCTGACGTCGAAGGACTACCTAACTCGATCCTAGCACTTCTAGCCCAGGTATTTTTTCTATGCGCACTGTCTTGTCGCCGCGTGAGGCTGACCGCACACTCTGTGCCGATCAGAATGCTGTGAAAGCAGGCCATCCAGGTGCCACGGCAGTAAACGGACCATGGAGATTGTCTCTGGAGTTGTCGGCGTATTCCCCAGTCATTGAGTGCTGCAGCAATCGGCGCACGAGGCAGTTGATGTTCGACGCACAGACACACAAGGCAGCTGTACCTCCGCATGATAACACGCCCATCATGGAAGAGATGCTGCGGTTGCGACACGAGCTAGCGCAGCTGCTAGGGTACAACAGCTACGCCGAAGTCAGCTTGCTGGACAAGACGGCGCCGTCCGTGTCGGCCGTCGAAGCCCTCATTTTTGATCTTCGTGACAAATGCCTCGCCATTTCCAAAGTCGAGATGGCCGAAGTTGCCGACTTTGCTCTCAAGCACGGGCAAGAGGAACCACTGGAAGAGTTCGACATTGCGTACTGGTCCGTTGATATGCTCTTCTTCAAGGACGGACTCCTCAGGACTTGAGATGCTCGGTAGGACCCAACAGTTGCGTCAGGCGCGCTACAACTTTGACGGCGAGCAGCTCAAGCCATACTTTCCCATGACCAAGGTATGCCATACAAAACTTATCGGATTGACCGTTGTTCGTTCCAGGTGCTCAGCGGATTGTTTGACTTTGTCTTGGAATTGTTTGGGATCCGCGTGGAGGTACGAAGAAGAGCATCGCTGGTTCATTGTGAGCGATCTGTCGGTAGCCCGCCGACGGCGTCCAAGAAACGTGGCACCCTGACGTTCAGTTCTTTCAAATGCGAGCGGTCGAAGCCCCCGGCGAGCCTGTGATCGCGCAGTTTTTCATGGATCCATACGCCCGCCCTGGGGACAAGAGGCACGGGTGCTGGAACGAAGTCGTTGTGAGCCGGAGCAAAGTGCTGCGTACGGAGCTCGCCAGCGTCCGGCTGCCGGTGTTTGCGCTCATGAACACGCTGACCCCGCCGGTGCGTTTTCTTCCACCCTCCACATTTCGTAGCGACGGGCATTTGATCGAGAGTCCTGAACAGGTCGACGACAAGCCCGTCTTGATGTCGCATCGGGAAGTCGAATTGCTCCTGCACAACTTTGGCTACGGCCTCCGCGCTGCGCTTTCCTCTGCCGATTACACGGCAGCGTCTCAACCTTATGGCATCGAATGGGACGCTGTGGAAATCCCGTCCATGTTTCTTCGAATGTTTTGCACTAGTCGACGTAAGCGCCACCTTGTCTTGATCTCGTTTCAGTGCCCACCATGACCTGTACAACCCTG